AGTCCACGAGATTTTGATTGATCTCGAGTCAAGTGCCACACACTGTACGTCTTGCGGTTGCACTGACGGTGCTATCCATCAAATTATACCAGTTATACAACACAACACATTATATCGCATCACATTTTTCGCATATTATTCACATATCATATCAAATATATTGTATTTTTTAGATGAAAAATTAATAGACTTTTTTCCATCGCATGAATATATTCATAAAATTTTGTTTTTCTACTATAATATGAATATAAACCATGTTTTAAGCCATTATAACTATATACTGATATATTTGTCTCTAACATGGGATTAGCTGTTTTCAAATACTCTATGTAATGGAAAATTAAAAAACTATCATGCCATTTCATGCGTTGATAAACCTACAATATCCTTATGGTGCTCAACATAAATAAATTGTTCAAACGTTCATAATATGAAAAAAACATATAATTAATGCCTTTATTATAAGTAAAAGTATCAAACGTTTCATTGATTAAATAATCCTGGATTTCTGTAACTATATGCTAATCATTCACGTAATGTAATGTAATTATTAGTCAATGCGTTAGAGAATTGGTTCGGAGACTGGATTTTCTGCAATTAATATATTACTATAATTTGTATGTTTTTTGACAATAAGCTGAATATTCTTAAGAGAAACAGCATTAATATTGAATATGGAAATAATGCCAAACAATAGTATAACAATACATAAGACAACTGTATTGTGAATAATATGGCAAATATGTAGAGTAACAGCGATTATTTGTGCATACCTTCCATTGTCGTAGTAATAGTGATAGCATTGCTATAATCACTGAATCCAATCTCATTCTCCAGTTTAACTCTAATATCATAGGCAGTGATCGGCGAAAGATTGACAATCGTTATGGTGTTAGACGTCGAATGGATGAGCAGTGCTTCGAACCATTGGTCTGTGCGATGCGGGTGTGAGAGACACGTCGGGTGCCATTCAATACATTATGGATAGCAATGGATAGATAAAAGATCAATCAATTAGCGACATAACTGTCTAAACATTATATAACACCCCAAACACACACATGGTTTACGAGAGCACACATTTATAGATGCCATTGATATTCAATCATTTATGGCACAGACATATATTAAATGGCGATCTCTCTCTCTCTCTCTCTCTCGCTCGCTCGCTCAACACAATTCCCAAACAAGACTTGCATTAATAAAATATCGATCAAAAGAAGGCATACAAATAGATTTTGGTTAAGAGGATAGGAATAGAGATGAATGTAGAAAAAGTGTGAACAAACTTACCATTAGAGAAGGTTTCAGTAGTTGTTTCTAAACTTGAAGGCCCGGCGCCTATACTATTGAACGCTTGTATAATAAATCTGCAATCGATTAACGAGAAAAAATATGAAAATATTGTACATTTTTATGCATATAATTTGTGTAAAATATATGGATTATGCATTAATTTGCAAATTATTATTATTATATTTATATATCGCCAATAGTGTAGCAATAATATAAAATTTACTGTACAAAACTTTATTTATAAATAGCAAATTAATTTTCCAATAAATTTCATAAACAAAACAAGTAATCTATTCATTACTCGTTCAATAAAAATCAATTTATGCAATGTTTTCATTTAAGTACAATTAGTTATTCTTATATTCTTTCTTTAAATCAAAATATACAATAAAATGAACGTTACTTTTAATAACTATTCTCAAAGATTAGACCTAAAATTAATCAAAAAACTGCCTAAAGATATATCAAATGAACAGAATATTAACAAAATAATTAAATATTAATTAGTGTAAAAGTATTATAGTTATGATCAGTGAACAATCTATGGGTTCCAGAGCTTCAAATACTAAATAATTTTATGTATATTCATAGCAAATAAATAAAATTTAAGCCCCGAATGAACTTTTCAATTATTTACTTATTTATTATGTTACTATCAAACATTTAGTTATTAAAATAATAATTAGCTCATGTAAACTTCTTTCTCTTTAAATATGACATTTCTGGTATAAAATTCAATTTGAGTTGTAATTAAAATTTTATTCCTTTCAAATTAAAAACATCGAAAACTAATGTTAAATTCATATCATTGAATAAACATACAGTATATTTGATGCACTCATTAGTGAAAAATATTTTCACTAAAATAACAAATTATTTATTAATTATCCCAAAATATACTAATTAGTAAAACTTCAATAAATATAATCCATCGAAAGAGTGCATTCAAAGTGACTGAATATAATGCATAATTTATTATTTAAAAATTGCAATATTAATTATTTTAATTATTAATGGCAACATAAAATTATTGATACAACATTCTATTATATTATACACATTGTGTACAACACATTACATACATGTATTTTGTACGTCTGGCCAACGAATCAATAACGTAGTCATATTTGCTACTAATCTGTTGTTCTATCGGTTGTCGATTTCCGGCCGACACTCCCTTTGCTGTATATGAATGACTAAAAAAAGAGCAAACGATTACTTCACTTGAGTATAGTATTCACACACGGAATACAAATTCTTGTGCATTCAATTCACTCTCTCTTTCTTTCTTTCTTTCTTTCTCTCTCATTCTCTGATTTGTTGGCTGAATGTAACGCAAACTTCATATCCGGAAACATAAATCAATACATAAACTGAATTAAAAAACGTCATGTGTTTCGGTGTTTATCGTTATATCCGGTATTGTTGTGACAGGAAATCGACGCTTGCCTTTGGATGAGAGACACTCTCAGCCATCCATCGGAAGACTTACTATCTCTCACATCGACAGAACTGATGAAGACGTTTACAAATGTGTTGTCCTTTCGCTTAGTGGCCAACGAATGGAACAGACATTTCATCTTAAAGTTAGCGGTCAGTTCACCCGTCCATCCATTTACTCCGCCTTTCATTCATTTTCAATACAATTCCCTTTAAATCAATGTTTCTATCAATACATTCAACACTATATATAAATCTCCAACAATTAATCAGTTTTCAAAACATTTTATAAAGATTTAACTTTGTTTGAAAATTTATGATACATTGGTATAATTGACATTTTTAGGCTATCATTGAAATATAGTGTAATTAATTTTATATATTGTATGATTTTTTAAAATAAGATTTTAATTACTATGAAATGAAATTATAACGAATTGTCTCTCGAATACTCTAGTTATCTAATTATATGCACAGCATATGAAACAATAAAATAATATTAAAATTTTGGATTTATTTTGAAACTCCTACTATTATCGATTAGTATTTACCGTATGTTATATTTGTGGCACATGTTTGACAGGCTATGGTTATCCCACTTATAAAAAAGCATAACATCCCATTATAAATGAATTTTGAGCGCAATTTTTATTGCCTATAATTTAAGGGCAAAAATGAAATTAAAGGAAAAAACATTTATTTTTTGGTGCCATTAACTGAACACTTGATGTGCCGTATATTCTCTGTATATTTTATTGAAACAATTTTCTATTTATTTATTCTGTTAAACACTTTTGTTTTTATGGATACAGACTACTCTCCAGTCTCATATACCGTTTCAAAATTTGTGTATTTTATGCACACAATTAGGCCAATTAGTTTACGTTATTGAACAGAATATATAAACATTTTAAACATATTTATATTAATATTAGTGTATTACATGTTTATCATTTAATGCAATACATTTGTCATCGAATACATTATAGAATAAGTTACTTGTATGGAAACCGTATTATATTGAATAATATCTATTCGAACAGAATATTCTTGAAATACACATTTATTTCAAATCTGTATAATAAGGTACATAATAGCGATGTATTGATGAAATTGTGTATATAATGTACAAAACAGTGAGTTTGCCTCTAAATATTCTAATGATCTGAAGAAGTGATATAATAATAAATATACAGTATTTGTGTAGATATAGATCTGCGCCAATCACTCCTAAGACTTAAGTCTAATGGTATTGTTTATTGTGTTTCGCACCGACAGCTGCTCCGGCTATTAGTCCCTTCATGTTCTCCGATAACTTAGAGGAAGGCATGAGAAGTTCGGCCGTTTGTTCCGTTATATCGGGCGGTAAGTGACCATTACTTATGCACTTATATCAACGCTTTTAACACATTTTCATATTTGATACATAATTGTTGACTAAATTAACTAGTGATTAATAAATTGACAATTATTACATTAATTAGTAACTAAATATTGAATTGTGACATAATTTCAATATAACAATTTGATGTCATCACAAACAGAGCCTCCGATAACCATCCGATGGTTAAAAGACGGCAAATCGTTGTCCCAAATGGACGCTGAAATACAAATCATGTCAATCAATGAATTCATATCATCGCTAATCATATCAAACATATCGCGCTATCATAAGGGGAACTATACATGTGTGGCCTCTTCAGACGTGGCCACCACTAACTTCACTGCCGTAATGGCCGTCCGGGCGGCTCCCGTATGGATCGTCAAACCGGCCGATCGTCACGCCATCACAGGTCAGTCGATACTGTTTGACTGTCAGTCCAACGGTTATCCACAACCGGTGACGCGTTGGAAGTTTATACGTGTCGGTCAAATGTCGGGCATCGGCGGAGGGCCAGCGGCCAAAGGCTCGGACGCGGTGTCCATTTTAAGTAGCCCTCAGATTCATGTGTTGGAAAACGGATCGCTGACCATACGGTCATTGGAGCCCCAGTTTCAGGGCCTGTATATATGCGACGCCTCCAACGGCGTGGGCCGACCCCTGGAGACCAGTGCCAAACTCTTTGTCCACTCTGTGCCACAAATGCAAATCATGCAAAAACAGATAACAGTGCGGCGGTCGGCTCAGGTGCAGTTCCAGTGCACGGGCGCCGGCACAGCGCCCCTCACCATACAGTGGCTTAAAAACGGTGTTCCCCTCCAGACTATAGACCGGTATATCGTTCGCGAAGAATATCAGAAGACTTTGGGCGCCGAGAAGTCGTCGCATATAGTGATCAACAACTCTGTCCGCAACGATAGCGGCGTTTTCACGTGTGTGGCCAGCAATCAATACGGCAGCGAATCGCAGGACATTAAAGTTGTGGTACAGGAGCCGCCCGACCCGCCTACTAGTCTACACGCTCTGGAGGTCGGCGCCCGATCTCTCGTCCTCTCGTGGACTGTCAGCTATTTTGGCAATAGTGTTGTCCTAAAGCATAGCATTCAATACAAACGCAAATCGGGTAAACCTTTACTTTATTTTGAATATTTTATTTTTATTTTGTTTATAATAAACTTAATTTTAAAGTAAACACAGAATATTCTTGGTATTTGATAGTTAAGGCACTGTATATGATATCAAATGCCAATGGATTTCAAATTTTAGACACATTTTATGGTTTGTGTTGAAATATTTTATCAAATATCCAGAGAAAAGAGAAATAAGTTTTTTTTGCGAAACATTTTATCAGAATCTTTGCAAAACAGAGCTCTGATGGGAATAATAATCCTATTTTGTATGAAAATATACGTTAAGAATACTTTTAGGCCTAAAAATAAATTTTTAGTTAAATATTTATGTTGAATAAGAAAAATACAAACAAAAAACCCTAACTTTGCGACAAAATATATAAAGTTTTGATTAATTTCATATAAATTTGTGTTTTAAAAAGTATTTTTGTATTCAAAATTCAATATTTTATTACATTTATTATTACAGATAATAGAGTGTATATAATATGTTATTCAAAGAGTAACTCAACTGTAAATTTTGTGTTGAAATTTCTATTTAATTCTCAAACCAACACAAGCTTTCAAATACAATATACTTTATATTTATACTAAATTTATATTATATAAAATGATTGACTCCTCATTCACTATACAGTTGTGTATAAGTTATTCTTAACAGTGTATATGAGATAATAGACTGAGAGCTTAATTATAAAAATTTTTGATAAAAATATTTTTGGGCTAATATTTTATGACAACAGAAAAAAGGAGATTAATTGAATCGATTTCCAGTCTTGCTTTTATCAGAATCTTTGCAAAACAGAGCTCTGATGGGAATAATAATCCTATTTTGTATGAAA